GGGGGGGGGCAGGGGAGGGAGGAGAGGGATGTCTGGGGCCCAGAACAGGCGGATCAAATCCACAAAGACAGGAAGTGGAGTTGCTGTTGCTGAGGGGGATGGGAGGCCTGAGGGGTGACAGGTGGGTCTTCAGGCTTCAGTGGGCTCCCGGCAGACCTGCGAAGCCTTGCCAGCTCTGTGTCCCGAGGCCTTTGAGGACCTGGACCTTTCATTCAGGTAGCGTGAGCGGGAGACGGACGTGTGGGCCTTGGGAGAGTGCTTGCAGGGAGACCAGGCACTAGAGCAGCCCTTGGCTCGGTCCTTGGTTGCTTCTAACAGTCCGATAGCCTGGGGACGGTGTGCCGGTCTCCCGCCAGCCAGAGGCTTGCAAGCTGGGGCGGGGATGGGGGTTGGGGGTGCGTGCGGTCTCTGGGCCGGCCTACCTGGCCTCCTGCTCCACCTGCTCCTCCAGCTGCACGATCTTGGCCTCCAGCGCAGCGATGGTGGACTTGAACTTGGACTTGACCGCCCCCTCCATCTCCTGGAGCTTGCTCCGCAGCTCCTTGTTCTGCCGCTCGAGCTGCTGCCGCGCGCTCTCGTTCTTCTGGGCCGCGCTGCGCTCCGTGGCCAGCTCGTTGTTGAGCTGCTCGGCCTGGGGATGGAGACCAAGACCACGTGGCCGGTCTGAGGAAGCCCGGGTAGTGCCATGGAGCTGACAGGGGCCTGACCCTGCTGCCTCCATGGGCCGGGCTCTAGCTCCAGAGACACCTCTTCCAGGAAGCTCAATGGTGCCCCCAGGGGCCCTCCCGGGTCCGAGGTGAGTGTCTCCACTCAGCAGGTTTGAGGGAAGGCCCTGGAGTGGCGGGAAATCGGCCCCTCTCCTGGCCCATGTGGAGAGAGCAGGTTCTATACACACTGCTGACCAGATGAGGTCGGGCATGGGGGACTGGGCCTGGGGGGTGGGGGGGAGAATCCGCTCCGGTGGTGGGCCCCACCTGCTGCGTGGCTTTGCGGAAGCGGTCGCTCATGGCCTCCATGTTCCCCTGCTCCTCCTCCAGCTCCTCCTCCAGCTGGTTGATCCGGGCCTCCAGGCGACGCTTCTCATCCTGCAGTGTGTTCCTAAGGGAGAGGCAGCCATGCAGGGGCTCCAGCCTTGCCCCGCCTAACAGCCTGGCTGTTCACCGCAGGCACACTGGCTCCCCATCACCCCATGGTACCGGAAAGAAGGCACAAAGGACAGAGTCCTAGCTCAGAGTGTCACAGCTCAGGAATGCGAAGCAGGCCTCACACTGGGTGAGGGTGCCTCCCACCCCGCTGCAAGGTTGGGGGCTTTCAGCTTTGGGATGGGCCTCCCGAGCTCTCCCCTCCCTGTCCCAGAGCCGTGCAGGGGGCTCCTCGCTACCTTCCGGACACGCTGCTGGCCAGCTCCTCTGCCAGCTCCTCCTTCTCCAGGTCTGCCTGTTTTCGAGCCCGCTCTGCTGCGGCCAGGTCCTGGGAGACCAGAAGGACACTTTCTGTCATCCGAGGCACAGGGGAGCCTGGTCTGCTCCCACCACAGGGCCCCTACAGTCTGCAGGCCCCCC